TCTTAGGGGTCATCCACAAATTGAATGTACAGGCATGACCATACCTGTTCTCTGGCGTAACCACGCCATATATCTGTTGTGGCCACACCAATAGATGACATGGTTATGCTAGGTTGAACAAAGTCTCCAGTTCACTTTTTTTGCTCTTATTTACGTGTTAAGCCTTTGGAACCTGCAAAACACATAATCGACATTCCAATATCATAAAATCATATTATAAAAGAAATAATTTGCATGAATTAAAGTGCGAAAAATATGAAAAATGATACATGTAGGATACAAATCTAACCTTGCAATGATGTAACTGGTCCTTAGCCTAACCTATGGGAACTATTGATGATGTGTTAGTGAAGGTGGACAAGTTCATATTCATTGCAGACTTTGTAGTACTTGACATGCAGGAAGATAAGAAAATTCCCTTGATAGTTAGTCGACCCTTTTTATCCACCGATAGAGCAATGATTTATATCAAAGAGTGAAAATTGACTAGGAGAGCAAATGATCAAAAAGTTACTTTAATATTTTGAAGTCAATGAAATTTTCCCATGATTTGAGTGAAGTTCATTGTTATAGGATTGATGTAGTAGACTTGTTAGTGGCTTACTGATTTGTTGAAAGTTTGAATGAAGACTTAGTAGAGCAAGTTGAAACTGAGGATCAGAATGAGACATATAGGGAGGAATTTGCTCCACTTTTAGAAGAGAACCCTAGAGAATTTGGGGAGATATTTGAGCTTTTAGTTACCACCGCAAATGCCAAGCCTCTAGTGTCATCCACTAAGATAGACCTTGAACTAAATCTGAATAACATGTCCAACCACCTCAAGTATGCTTACTTAGGAGAACCCATAACCTTGCTTGTGATTATTTCAACAAACGTTAGTGGAAAGAAAGAAGATAAAATGATGAGGGTGCTTAAGACATTTAGAAAGGCCTATGGGTGGACCATAGTTGACATTAAAAGCCTAAGACCTTTCCAGCCTCTGAAAATCACATAGTACCACTTCAATTTAAGCCCTAACTTGCTTTTATAACCCATTGTCCAAATTTTAGCGAATCAAGCTGAATCAAATCTTTCCTTTTGCAGCAATATATGATGACACGACCATTTGAATGGGGCCGTGTGGCCACTCTTAGGAGTCATCCGCAAATTGAATGTACAGGCATGACCACATCTGTTCTTTGGCGTGACCACACCTATTCTTTGGCGTAACCACACAATACACCTGTCGTGGCCATGCCAATAGATGACATGGTTATGCTAGGTTGAACAAAGTCTTCAGTTCACTATTTTTGATCCTATTTACGTGTTAAGCTTTTGGATCTTGCAAAACACATAATAAACATTCCAATATCATAAAATCATAATATAAAAGAAATAATTTGCATGAATTAAAGTGCGAAAAATATGAAAAATGGACACATGTAGGATACAAATCTGACCTTGCAATTATGTTACTAGTCCTTGTCCTAACCTATGGGAACTATTGATGATGTGTTAGTGAAGGTGGGCAAGTTCATATTCATTGCAGATTTTGTAGTACTTGACATGGAGGAAGATAAAAAAATCCCCTTGATAGTTAGCCGACCCTCTTTAGCCACCGGTAGAGCAATGATTAATATCCAAAAGTGAAAATTGTCTATAAGAGCGAATGATAAAAAAACTACTTTAATGTTTTGAAGTCATTGAGATTTTCCCATGATTTAAGTGAAGTTCATTGTCTTAGGATTGATGTAGTAGGCTTGTTAGTGGCTTGCCAATTTGTTGTAAGCTTGAAAGAAGACCTAGTAGAGCAAGTTGAGACTGAGGATCAAAATGAGACATCTAGGGAGGAATTTGCTCCACTGTTAGAGGAGAACTCTAGAGCATTTAGGGAGATATTTGAGCTTTTAGATACCACCACAAATGCCAAGCCCCTAATGTCATCCATTGAGATAGCCCTTGAACTAGAACTGAATAACATGCCCAAACCCTTCAAGTATTTTTATTTAGAGAACCTATAACCTTGCTTGTGACTATTTCAACAAACATTAGTGGAAAAAAAGATGATAAATTGATGAGAGTGCTTAAGACATTTAGAAAGGCTTATGGGTGGATCATAATTGACATTAAAGGAACAAGCCCTTCCCTATGTATGTATAGGATTTTTATGGGGAGACATGGACCAAAAAATGATCCCCAAAGAAGACTAAACTCAATGGTTAAAGAGGTGGTAAGGAATAAAATTTTGAAGTGGCTAGATGCTGACATTATCTACCCCATCTCATATAGTGCTCGGTTTAGCTCGATATATAGTGTGCCCAGTAAAGGGAGAGTGACATTAGTAGAGAATGAGAGGAATAAGTAGATACCAACTAGGAAAACCATAGGATGAAGGATCTGCATTAACTATATGAAGCTAAATTCAGCCACGAGGAATGACCAATTTCCCTCGTAATATTTAAACCAGATGTTGGATAGACAAGCGAGGCACTCTTTCTATTGTTTCCTAAATGGCTACTCAGGATACCACAAGATCCTCATAGCCCCTGAAGACCAGGATAAGACCACCTTCGTGAGCTCCCGTGGAACTTTAACCTATAGGAGGATGTGCAATGCACCAGTCACTTTTCAACATTACATGATGTCCATCTTTTCATACCTGCTTGATACTGAGATAAAAAATTTTGTGGACTATTTCTCTGTGTTTAGCACCTCGTTCAACCCACGCTTGAAGCATCTTGCAAAGGCGTTGCAAATGTGTGAGAAGACCAAACTGTGTTGAACTGGGAGAAATGTCAGTTTATGGTCACTGAAAGAAAGGTCTTTGGGGCAACCCTTGTCTCACATGCAGAACAATGTTACAAAGTCTTCCGATTTACAACGTAGATGCATGGAGGAACTTGTCATAAGCAATGAGCGGTGATAAATGATGATCGACGATGATTGACAAGTGGTGGTTGATGGTGATCGGTGGTGGTCGATGATGGCAGAAGTAATGCTGGATTTCAGCTCATTCTCAAAGCTTCAAGCTCTTTCTTAGGCCTTAAGCTCTCTACATAGACTTTAAGCTCCCACATGAGAGGGGTGGGGTCCTATTTATAGAGTTTCAATTGCAATTAATGTTGAAATATGAACGATTTAGATCAGTCGGTCTAAAGAGCTTTCTTTAATCAGATAATATTTGATAGACATTTAAGTGCCTTAATGATGTCGAAATTGAGTGATTTTGGACTCTTTTGGATTCATCTTTATGAGACGCTCGATTTGACTAGAAGCTCATTAGATTTTACATCTGATTGACCTTCCAAATATGTCTGAAAAGCTCCCAAAAGTAGTTTAATATCTTGATATGAGCTTGATTTTGACTCAGATTAGACCAATTTTGGTATCATTGGGTCCATCTCATTGTGCTAATCAATTTGCTTGTAAGTTCGCTGAAATCAGATTTCCAAATGACTTTTTATCACAGTTTGAACATTTATTGCTCAAAAGATTACGTTGAGATTCATGTCATGCCTCAAGATTAATGTCAAATGATGGAAATTTGTTTACGACGAATCAATATGAAAATCAAGATACTCATTTAAACTTTTAGCTCATTTATTAGCTTGTTTAAATATTCATTCATTTGTCATAAACAAATTAATTACTAAATAAGTTATAAAATTGAAAAATTTAAACAAATCTAATTTGAATAATATATGAAAATTCGACAGAAGCGCCAGCTGAATAAGGGCAACTGCAACTTCTCAGTTTTTCAGTATGAAAATTCGACAGAAGCGCCAGCTGAATAAGGGTTTGTTTGGGGCAGCTGCAACTTCTCAGTTTTTCAGCTGCAACTGCGCTGCCTCAGGAAGCTATTGCGAGGAAGCTGACTGCATGTTTGTTGTAACTGTGTGAAAACAACTGTGCTGCTGTTTATGAAGAAATGACCATTCTGTCCCTATGTTTTTTGAGCTATAAAAAACATTATTTTTTGTTATTGACATATATGATCACAATCAACCAAAATCAAACCTACAAAATCAACATATTGAATAAAAACCACAAAATTTGCTTCACTAAAATTTAATGTGAAGCTTTTAATTCTCAAAAAATCAAAATTAGTTGGTCTTGATGATAACTTCAACACAAGAACATTGTCTATACAATATCAACTGATCAAAAAAATAAACAAACAATAAAAATAATAAGTTTTACAATCTAAATTAGAAGAAGTTGCCGGTGACAGTCGAGTAAGGCATGGAGGCAGCAGGGTCGTGGATGTGGGTTGAAGATGGAGTGAAGGAAGAAGAAAGATGGTAATTTCAGGTTTCTATAGGTTGCACGAGGTTCGGCGCTAGAGAACCGCGACAACGAGGAAGGTGTGGCAGAGACTTTTGCTTCGTGCGAACAAAGGAGGAGAAAACAGAAGGCTTTTGCTTCGTTGGGGGAAGATTGCAGCTTACCGAGCCGAATGAGGAGGACGGGTGGAATTGCTGGAGGGACACTAGCGTAAAACGTAGAAGCAAAAAATGGGCCACTAGATCGAACTCGTGGGCCGCATTTAAGAAAAATGGCAGGGCACTGAACCTGCCCGCCGCCCTAAACACCAGAAAAAAACGGTCTGAGCCGCTCCTCTACCACCACCTCAAACGGGGTCTAAAGAAATTATTCCATACGGATCGGACGCCGCACGCAGCGTGCGTGCGGTTTCCGATCCGGACCGTAAATCACCTGATCCACGGTCCGATGTATTTCGGTGGGCCCCACCTATTTTTTTTTAAATAAAAATGAAAATAATCCTTACCGTAGATCACTGTGATCTACGGTCAGGATCGGACACCGCATGCAGAGATGCATGCAATGTCCGCACGCAATAATTTCTCCTAAAGAACAGCCCATAACTATGTTAAGCCTAAATCCGATCCATAATAAACTCGGCTTGTCTGGCTCGGCTTGGTTACAACGCCACGAGCAGTCTCACCCCGCCAAATTAGTTAAACGACAAGTTTTTTTTTTTTGGGCGTTCATTGAATTTAATCGCAATTTGAACTCTGGCCTCCGCTCGCCTGTCCTTCCATTTCGTTCTCCTGCTTTACGGAGCTCGGCTGCCCCTAATTTTATATGGCTTCCGCTCCTCTACCGGGATCTGGAGCTGTCTTCCGGGGTTACAACTTCGCTAACACGTGGGAACAGGTGATATTTCGTTTCAGAACCCTAGCTTCCGCGGCTTCCACACATTTTGAGTTTCTCCAAAAGAGCAATCATTGCATCTTGATATCTAGAACGGAATCGTGTTAAGGCCTGGAACGCTGGATCTGCTGTTCTAATTTTGTTAGTTTATCTGTTTGCAGAATGCCCCTTTGACGGAGGAGCAGAAGGCTGCGATAACAGCATTGTCCCATGCTGTGGCTGAGCGCCCCTTTCCTCCCAACTTGGTTAGGGGTGTAGTCTTTTTAGTATTTTTTTCCTTTTCATTTAATGGAGGAGCGGGGATTAACTAGCTCATTTGCAGGCCCAAGAGAAAAACTTGGGGAAGGATCCAAGCGCAGTTGCTTCACCAGATGATTCTGTGAAAGAAGCTGGGATAAATGTAGTTCTGGTCAATACTCATCAGGTGATTATTATTATTGTTTTTTAATCTTGACAAGATATCCTGTTTTTTCATTCTACTTCTGCGATTTCAATTCCCCTTTTTTGTATTCCATTTCTTTGGCGATTGATGCATATTTGTATGTAATTGGGATTTCAACTGGCGTAAATTTTTTTGTACAAAGTTGAGTGTCTAAAAGCGGAGCAAGTTTATCAAGCTTATTCCTTAGACAGCTTATGGAAGAATTCACATTAGTCAGCAAATGTAAAAGATAGCTATTCTGGTTTATGGAAAAACTATTTGAGAGATGGTGTTGTGGTATGCGGTGAGTAGTATGGCTTGAAAGTCATTTTAATGAAATTCAAGGGCTGAAATGGATGCAATGTTTTTGGAGAAGAAATATTTTGAAACCATTATTAAGAATCGAAGGAGATGTATATAGCTATGGTTATTTAATTGGAATTGAACATATGAATTGCATAAAAAAGTTATATCATTGTTGAAAGATAGATTAAGAAAATTCACCTAAATTTTTTTTAAAAATTTAATTGCTTGACAAATTTACTATGGAAGTAATTTTTTTTGGCAAAGTAATTAATTTTTGACATATAGAGAGGGATGAAAGATTATTCATGTGGCTTTAATATATTTTGAAAGGTTGATGATCAAGTACTGTGAAAATTGATTAGTTGGACATTGGTAGAAAATAATTTTGCCAAAGATATGTTGAAAATTTCAAAGATGTATGATTGATAAGTTGCTAACATGCATATAGCCATGAAGCTTTGAAAGATTTTGTCAATAAAATAGTGTGATAGTAAATATAAAGTTGAGTATGTGTCTTTTTGAACTAATGATAGACATTTTTATTGAAGATCCCGAAGAGCCATATTGGTGATTTTTATTCATCACGTGTGATTGTTATGATCTCTTCAAAGAGAAAGCTAGCTAATGAATGAGCTTCTAGAAGGAAAGTGACTCAAAATTGCTTGAATAATGACAAGTGCTTCATATAAAATTCTTATGGATATGGAGTTTATAATTATTAATTAAATGGACTAGTAAATCAAGTAAAACTTAGATGTGATAGCTTTATGTACTTTTTGTTTGTTTTGCCATAGATGGGAATATGGATGACATTTTATAGCCTTCAAATGTGTGATTAAAATTAATTTATATCTCAAGAATACTATGAAATAAAAGTATATCATGGGGGAATCAAGGGTGAGTTTGGTAAAATTGCAATTTGATCGGATATGCCATGATGGTTTAAGTTTCGGGTCGTATGAAAGTCAATAGGAGCTGAATTGAGTGTGACATAAATAAGAATGTTATTATTATGGTCATAGATTTAGCTTAGGATGCTATGAAAAATAACATTTTTAAAGAGATGTGAGTATCATCTTGTCAAAATAAGGATTTGAAAAAATAGATCTAGGTGATTTGAGCATAATTGGGATATTTTTGCAGATATCAATAATGTAGATATAATTAGTCCTATAAATGTCGTGGGATATGATTGACTAAATGTAACACTACTAATCGTTGTGTGAAAAGATTGAATAAATCAAAATGAGCAAATCATGCAACATTTACTAAAAATGAATAGAGGAGGTTTCATAAACTTTATCTTAACTAAATGGGAGAAGGATAATTATATTGATGATAAAGTCATCCCACCGCTATAGTCTCATTGTACAATTGGCATGATGGGTTCTTTTGTTTAAGCTCTTTATCAATGAAAGTTTCTTCAATGAAAAGTAATGCTCCGTCATATCATTTTGTAGTATATTGAAAATCATATAAGTTTATGCTTTATTTGGGATAATTTGTTGTTTTTTGAAACAATTAAAAAGGAATAAAAAATGATTTTAACCTATATTTTGTTTTTTATTTAAAAATTAAATTATTTGTTTCAAAAAATAATAACCAATTTTAGAAGTTTTCATCATTACTTTCAAAATAAAAATTTTGCATTGATATAAATATGACTCCATCCTTATGAATAAGGTCTTAGACCATGAAATCGAGGCTATGATGACTGCCCAACTCACTTTCTTATTGGCCCACTCCTTTTTAGTGACTTTAACGTCAACAAGACTAGTACCATTGACAAAATACTCTTCTGACTCTGTTTTCTCTTCATCCATTCACTAACTTTCACTGACCTTGCTTTCATGACTTTGACCCGAGATTTGGAGTACCAGTGTGGGCGCAGAAGGCCCGATGGAGATTGAAGCTTAAAATACAATTAAGATAGCATGACCATCCAAATTTTTCTTTCCATCCATATACAACTTTAATGCCATAGAAGAGCCACAAAATCAAATTTTTTTTTTTTTATATCATGAGAATGTTCACATATATTTCAAAACAAAACAATTAGCATATAAAATTCATTTGAAACAAAAATAGTTTAGCTTTTCTATCTAAAAATAAAATTATACAAGTATCTAATGTTGTATAGACATAAAATTATACAATACCTAAGGTTAGTTGCTTCCCACTTATTGTAAATAATCTTTCATCATTTTACTTCAAAGGGGATTTACTTAAAAGAGAAGTAAAAACACACAACTCAATGGGTATTTCCCAATTATAAATTATAATGATAAAAAATAAAGAGGAGTATGTTAATCGTTATATTTAAATGATATGGAAAATCATGAAACTTGTTTTTCATTTCTATAATAATTATGATATTAAACATTGCTTAGCTGTTAGTGTTTTATATAATTATGGATTCGTAGCATTCTATTGGCATTAAGGGTTAAACATATGCTGAGTTTTTCGTACCAAAGCTTATACATTAGTTTACACATAATATATCCGTTTGAGGAGTACCGTTTAGATACTCAAATCATTTTTAGTTGTTACGTTTTTGATCAATAAAGTAGAGCATAGTTTATGTTTGCTATTATTATCAGAGGTGGAAGGTAAAGTGATCAACTTGTGAGCACATTATCATCCTCAACTAGTACTATAAAGGGGTAATTTCTATCTTTCAATATGCATAAACAAGCGTACATCTATATCTCATTTTCTTTTCATTCATTGCTTCATTGAATATCAATTAGTAATAAACATTTTATGTTACATTGTAACCAAATGTGACATAAAATGAGAACATGTCATTCCTGTGAGTTTGCATGCATCAATCTAAATGCATAAAACCTAGTGTATGACGCAATTTCATCTGAAAGATACAATTGGTAAGCTTAGGGGTCATTTGGGATCATTTTTATTTTTATTTTTTTATTTTTTATTCTATGTTTTAATTTGAATATAAACATGTTTGATTGAGTTGTTTAAAATACTCAAAACATATTTTATATAATACAATCTAAATAACATAATTACACTGCTCTTAAAACCTTGCCATTGGAACTGCATTTCTCCTTTCACAAGCACGGTCACTTGCAAGCGAACAACCCTTGCTCACTCGGTATCTTTCTTCACCTTGCTCTCCTTCACTGTTTCCTTCTTGCACTCTTACACCTCAATTGAACCATCCCAATACTCCTGTCCTACCCCTTTTTTATAACTATTAAAATTTATTTGTTTACGCAAAAAAGAAAAATTAGTTATTAATTTTTTGAAAATTAACTATTTTCAATAAATTCACTTGACTAATTGATTTTGTCTTGAAACAAGTCATATCATTTTAGATTAACTAATATTAACTAATATTAAGATTTCATAATTAAATAATTATATTCACCCATATCCCTTGAGTCCTCTCTGCCAGCACACCTCTATGATCTTGACTCTTTAGTTGATGCTCTTGTTGACACAGTCTGTTATCTCCCACTGCCTCGGTCCATCCGCCCTCTTTGTGATCATTCTTCGCTTCACTTCCTTGCTGACACCCTTTTTTTGCAAGCAAAATCTTAACATATAATAAACACTTAATAAAATAAACTATAATTTTATTTCTTGTTAGAACTTAAGTAAAGTAGGTTATATGACAAGATAAAAGAAATGAAGGAAAATAATAACGTAAAAATAATTAATTTGTTGGTTAACTCAATAGAATATATTTAGAATATTATGTATGTGCCAATTTATTCTTGTCTGTAGTTGTTTGCATTTTTCTAAATCGTTTTGTGGTTGGATACGATTCATTTTGTAGAGCTTTGTTTATTGTTGTTATTATTTTTTTTTCCCATAGTTTACGTGTTAAGTTTTACTAACCATGCTAACTTCTTTTCACTGATTGTAATGAAGGCGCTTTACTTTGTATTTTGCTTCACTCTTTAGAATGCATATTTTAGATTAATTAAATACCTGGTTCAATGTTTTGACAATAGTGCACAACAGTTTTTATTTTATATATATATATATATATATATATATATATATATATATATATATGACAATATTTAGCAAACAAAAAAGAACCTATGATGACTTTGTTCATTCACTTGCAGTTCTACAAATGGTTTACAGATTTGGAGTCCTCTATGAAGTCAGAGGTCTGTACTGATGTTATCATCTCACTGTTAGTTAAAGAGAATTAAGAGTCTTTAGTCATGATATTTAATCTGGTACTGATTAATGGTTTTTGTGACAGACGGAGGAGAAATATCGTCTCTATGTCAACACATTAACGGAACACATTCAGATATGTGACGGAATACTTGAACAAGTTTGTTCCATGTTCTTTTTGTCATAGTAATTTTGCCATTTAATAGTTTCTTGTCATAGTAATTCAACTATACTCTTTGCTACGTATTTGTTTGAAATACTAGGAAATTAAAATTCAGTCTAGTGTAAGCAGAAAAAGAAAAATCGCCCATATCTTTCTATTGAAAGTAAAAAATGGAGTATATTCCATTCTAAATGAAGTAGCATCAACAATGTAAAAGTAACAGTGATACTGTTCTAGGGCTCTTAGGAGGTATTTTGGAGGTGGATTTGCAGGGAGATAGCTGTGGAAGGGTACGAGAAGGATGATAAGGGTGGCTGGCGCCATTTAGAGGGAGATAAGCAGCGAAATCTGTTGTAACACTGCAGGTTCGGTGCGTTCAGCGGCTGTCCCGGCTGAAAACAGCTGCTTGAACTTGGAAACTGCTAGATATGGATGGTAAGGAGGTTCCACCACTTGTTCCTAAGCAACATACAAACACACCGCTTGCAAAAGGAAACGATGCTGTATTCCTTAGATCACAAATCAAAGAATAAAATCTTTCAAAACACCAAAAACAAAAGCTAAGCCCTCAAAGCAGGGAAAAAAACATATAAATAGCCTCCCACTAGAAAAAAATATTAATTAGAATAGAAAAAAATGGAAATATACCAGGAGAAGAAAATAAGGCTAAATTCAAAAATTGGGAGCCTAGGATTGTGTGAACTGTGATTTTTCGATTCTGTAGTTTTGTGGGGATCGTGAAATTCAGCCGTTTTATGATTCCGTGGAATCATGTGGAGGCAATTGAGCTTCTGCATCATTCTCCCTAGGTAGGAGAGGTTTCTTTTTCTTCTTTGGAGGGACCTGAATCCTACTGTCGGATGCTCTTCCCATAAAATAACTAAAAGGATTTTTAGAGCTGCAGTTCACCACTTATATCTGGTCATCTATCCGTGGGTGTACAACTGAACTGAAATTTTGTGCCTAACACACCTAACAGAGCCCTCTAAAAGTGGCCAAGTAATTTCACATCTCTGTCTAAAATAATACTTCTTGGAACACCTTGAAGATGAACTACCCCCCTTGAAGTATAAATTTGCAAGATGTGATGTGTCTATTTTTTGTGGCATGGAACAAAATATGTTATCCAGAAGAAATGGTTTATAACAATAATAACAAAATTCTTGCTATGTTTGAGGCAACTCTACTATAAAAACTTTTGGTCACACTTATTTTAGGTAACTTTGAAACACATTCATCATTACAGGGACTATCTTGATAGAATAATATATATTCTTTTTTGGCACAACCGCACTTAGCGGCCTTCTCACGAACAAAGTCTTGAGCCATTAAATATGTACTATGCTTCTCCCAGTTCTCATGCTTGGTTGGGCACATCCTCTAAACAAGTCAGTTTTGAAGAACTAACTCAGTAATGAAATCCATGACAAGTTGGACCACTCTCAGTGATAACCACACAAGAGATAAACTGTTTATTAAGATATCCAACGACTCTCAACAAGAGTTACAACTTTTAGATATCAGCTTCTTAGACTCACTATTTTCTAGAACAAGCAATGCTAATCCAACTGAAGTCTCGTGGGTTTAGCTTGAATCACTAGTGTCTCTTATTTATTGACCGGAAGTTGATTTTCTTCTCTGAAGTCTTCATCCTCTCCCATGTCACTGCTTGTTATTTCAACTTCTCTCTGTTTAGTGAAAGAAATCTCTCGCATAATTGGTCAATCAAGTGCCATACGGCCAAAACCTTGGTAGGGATGGATTTGGGAGTGCCGGGGGCTGCACTTTTTCTCCATTCTGTACGGAGTCCTCCCTCTGCTTGGATTGGCTTGGGTGCTCTAGTGGGTCTATTATTGCTGCTTAATCCGATGGTTGAACTATTTGGAGGGTGTTGTGGACTTGATACTGTTGGGCTGTTTATCCACTTTCAATGCTAGAGCCTGGAAATCTTGTAATGTCCAATAAAGCTGCAATTGTACCATATGTCAATGGATGATCTCTTTCCTCTTATTGATATCAAGCTATGGTATTCTCATTGGGCTCCACTAGTCACACTTCAATATAAGTTGCTCAAACTCAATTGTATACTCCTCCACAGTAGAATCTCTCTGGCGCAATTGATTGAGTTTTATGAACATATCCTACTGGTATGCAAGGGAAGATATTTGCATTGCATCTCTCATTTCATTATAGGACATGTAGTAATCTTACCATTATTTTCCTGCTGTCGAAGATGCTTCACATTCTCTTATCATAAGGAAACATTTTTCCTTAACTTAATTGTGGCTGATTTGACTCTTCTGTCTGGTGGGGTGTCCTTATACTTGAATATTTGTTCCATTGTCTGAAACCACTCGATACATTCATCCGGATCTATGTGGTCGGTAAATCCACATTTACTCCAAGTTCCTCGCTTCCCATATATTCCATGCCAAATTGCCAGAGTATTAGCTCTTCATCTTTGAAAACTACATGGTGAAATGGATTCACTTCCTCATCTCGATCGGGTGATTCACCGTTGTGGCTTTGGTTGACCTCACCGCATCATCTCTTCTTGATGGCGCCAAACCTCTGTTGCATATGGAGAATTTTCTGCTGCATATCTTACATAATAAGCTTTTAAATACCTTGTGAATTTCTCCTAGGAGACATGATGTCTTTTCCTTCTAATCAAGTTTCTTGCGACATAGTAAGATTGGTTTCTTGCTGATATAATAAGATTGCGAATCAAGGTTGATCAGGGTCTTAGGTTTGGGTGTAGATATAAGGAGAAATTTTGGTGGAGATAGGAATGTTGGATTTGAAAATTTTTTGCTTAGGGCTAAGAATTGTGGTAAAAATGTTTGGCTATGGCGAGATTCTTTTTTGAAATTTTGGTTTTAGTGCAAGAAAGACGAATCCCTAAAATCTTATGATTTGTAGGGCTCTGATACCGGATAATATCTTCTTAGGGCTTCTAGAAGGTATTTTGGAGGTGGATTTGCGGGGAGGTAGTTGTGGAAGGGTATGAATTTGAGGATAGGTGCGGCCAGTGGTGTTTGGAGGAGATAAGCAGCGAAATCTACTGTATTACAGCAGATTCGGTGAGTCCGGCGGCAGCGGCTTGAATGAGAAAACGGTGAGGAGATTTCACCGCCTAGTTATGTGCAGGATACATACACCACTTGCAAAAGAGAAGGATAGAATGTTCTTTAAATCACAAATCAGATAATACATTATTTCAAAACACCAAAAACAAAAAGTTAAGTCCTTAAAATAGGAAAACATAATATATAAATAGTCTCCCAATAGGAAATACCCTAATTAGAAATAAGAATATTGGAAAGAAGTAAAAAACAAAGAAAAAAAAAAGGCTAAAATCAGAAATCATAAGCTTAGGATTATGGGAACGGCAATTTCTGGTTGGAGAGTCTTGTGGGGATCGCAGAATTCAGTCGTTCCACAATTCTGTGGAATCTTATGGAAGCAATTATGCTTCCGCGTCAAACTGTAGGTGATAATGAATTTATATTTCTGGGTCTAGTTACAAAGACTAAATATAACAGAACATCGTCAGCTGGAGTATCAGAACTGTTAAAATGGATTTTTCTCTTGTGATCATTGTTCAATTCTGGGTACTTTCTATCAACACATTAACATCTAAATGGGTGCTTGAATCAATTTATTTCTTTTTACCATAGTTTTGGATTCTGCAGAGACTTGCTTAATTTCAGCTTCTTCATTGATAGCTGTAGTCATAATTCAAGCCTAAAATAAACGTTTAAGCTAAAGGATTTGGTTTCTCAGGAAATATGCGAGTCTCTCGTTTTATCAATTTACGTTGATCATCTCAGACTTGACTGATTCCTTAATGAATAAACTTTTATTGATGCAAATTTCATGCATTACTATTGTGACATCTAATTATTTTCTCTTGTAACCTAGCTATTTTAGATTTGTTTTCCTAAGATGACAATTTAAATTAGAGTGATTTACTTCTTATCTTGATTCTCCGTTAGACCAGTATGACGCTCATGCGGCAGCTGAAAACTTGTTCTTTTTGTACGTTTTTTACTTATGTGCTTGACTTACCATTCTTAACCTTTTTTTTTTTTGTACAGCCCACCTTATAAATGTGACTTTGAATTGTTGAAAGTTATTTATGCTTGAATAATGTGCTATGCTGTTTACTGAAAGAGCAATGATGTGGAAACAGAGTTGTTGAATCTAGTTGAGAACCTGAGCAATTTTTTTATTAAATTACCACTTATATATGTCTATAAAGCTGAAATTGACACTGCTTGCTTCTTTTCGCAAGGGAGACTTTCGGATAATTGAAATTTAAATAATAAAATGTCTCTACTGTTGGAGATGTGAAACTTTAAGCTTAGATTTTGATGATGCGATGATAAACTAAAATCCTTTAATATGCTTTATCTTATAAATGGATTTTTTAATCACCTGTAAAGTTCTTAGATGAAATATATTTATTGCTTGTGTAGGTGTTTACTATTTTTCTTAAGCCTTATGCAGGTGGATGAGACCCTTAATTTATTTAATGAACTACAGACGCTTCAACAATCTGTTGCCACGAAAACAAAGACATTGCATGATGCATGCGATCGGTTGGTATGTGATCTTGCCATTTCACGTTATTTGAATTCTTTAGATGTTTTCTCTCTTCCATCTCTGATTTTTGCTTTAGCATTCAATCGAGTATATTTCTCTGCTTTAAGATAAGAAATTACTTAATGCAGCATTTTGATTTTAATGATATAGACCACTTTATCTTCTAGTATCCCTTGATTTGTGATTACTAATGTTGGAAATTATGAGATTGAAAATAGTATTATATGAAATATTTAATATGCCAATTAAGTTATTCTCTATATATTTTCTTATCTTATATATTTTTGCTTTATTTTATACATATTGTATTCACCCTATTTTTCTGTATAGGACCTCATCTCAATCAATGATATATAACAAAGTTTTCCCCTATTCAATAGCGTCAGAGTGGTTAAATCTAATGTGATCTCTCCCCTCTCCCTCCCCTATTTTTCTCGTCATGTATGCCTCCGCTTGCTTTCTCACACATATCCTTGTTCACTTAGCTGCTTGACTCGCGCAAAAGCTCGCAGTCATCCTTCATCACCACTATGTTTGTGCTACTCATGATCAATTATGCCTGCTCTGTACCGACTTGCTAGCTATCATGTTGTTCATGCTTTGCGTACGCCCATGCTAGGCTTGCTTGTTATTTACTGTCACTTACGCACGCCTGTTGTCGTGCTCTCACACCACTTGTTTAAACCTATGTACACATTACTCAAGTTTGCTTTGCTTTATGTCTGCACTACTCCCATTTGATTGCTCCCTTGCTAGTGTTGTTTGCTCCTGCTTGCAGATGGACTTGCCTGACTTGCACAATTCCTTGCTGTGAAAATCTGAGAAGATTTGGTTCTTTTCATTTTTTACCTCTCATGTGGACTGACCATCACCTCCAAATCTTGGAGGATTTAATTTGTGCATCATAGGAAACCTTTAATTGATTTTTTTCCTTCCTATTTTATGTTGTTCTATTTTTTATTCAAAATTATTTCTTTCTAATTCTGGTTAGATATATTTGGTATGTTTGTAAATAAGGAGGTATTGGTTTCCTTATATATGCCTTATCTGTGAATAATAAAGGAAGCAATTTTTCCTCCCCATGTAATTTGTATATGTTATCAAAGCTTAGATCAAACCCTAGCCGCCAGATCTCCTCCTTCTGCTGCATAAATTATGAACTTTGGACCTCCTGCTGCAGAAATTCTGAACTTTCCTTCTGCTTGAGATGGACTTCCTTTCTTAGAGACGGATTTCTCCTTTGTGCCAGCCAAATCCTTGTACTACCAGCAAGATCCTTCTACATTTTTTGCCGTACTTCCCTGCAATTTTAGCCAGATACTTCTATTGAAATTTTTGCAGCCAGATCCCTCTGCTTCTGTTTTTGAGCGAGATCCTTCTGCTGGCCTCTTCAACACCTGCTGCAGGGTCTCCTTACTGCTGAAATTCCCAGCCGGATCTCCTTAATGCTGGATCTTCTTCCTGCAGTCAACCCTGCCGGTCGGATCTCCTTCTGCTGGCTGAATCTCCTTCTTGCAGTCAGCTGGAACTTCCTTTCTCCTCTCTTTCATGCAGCAGAAATTCTTTCTACTGCAGGCCTCTCATTCGAAATTCTACTTGCAGCCTGAATTAGGCCTGTTGCAGGCTCTTCTTTGGAATTTTCCCTGCAGTCTGAAAATTCCTTACTTCTTGCCTCTCCTCTGGCAGACTCTTCCTTCAGTAGCAGCAACAGCAGAAGCAGTGGCAACAAGTAGAAGCAGGAGCAACAAGCAACAACAACCTCAAAAATAGAAGCCTGCCTTGAACCATCAACTCAACTCTTACCACTGCAGTCAATTAGGAGCAATCCTAAACACCCTTGGAGATGATGACAAACTATGGGACCAAGATTTCAACCTAGCAAACCCTTTATCTTATTTCAGTCTCTGGAGCCTCTCCAATTGCCGACCAGTGCCAGTATCCTCCCTGCAGTTGCCAGCTAGTCGCAGGCCCTTCTCTGCACTAGCTCCTGCTTTCTGTTGTTCTAGGATCTCCTTTGCCGTAGATCTTACTTTCCTTCTTGCTTTGGCCAAGCCTTGTTACTTGGATTCCTGTACATCGTGATGTCACACCCCAACTGGCCTCTTTTAAAGGTCAACGGCGGTGCAACATAGGCGGACGATTCGGCTAGATCAAAATCTTACTGGCAACCGTCATGACTTGCAAAATTAGGACCTATTAGATAAAAAAATCAGTGTAACAAATTCACCGTAAATGTACGTGATTCATTTCATTTCATAATTCATTCACATTCTTGGAAACATGAAATTCATATCATCAAAACATATATACAAAGCTGTTAAATCCAAAATAATAAAACTTAACACTCAAAAGTTTGTAGAAGCTCCAACAACTATGAACTGTAAAAACTGTACACGTTTTGCCTAGCTGCTCGTCTCGGTGCTCATTACCCTTACTGAAAGTCAATAACAAACTCAACGAAATAATCAAGACTAAAATAAGATTTTATAGACAAAAAAAACATTTATGGTCATATGTAATCCATGTACATGCCCACGACACATGTAAAAACATGCTATAATCATTCAAAATATGTAAAAAAAAGATATATAATGCAAAAAATCATGGCTATTGTGTAAACTATGTATTTCAGTCATATATGTGTAATCATAAACATATTCATTGGGATCATAAATCTAATCATAGGAATGCCATTTGTAATTGCATATGCTTCAACTATTTTCTTATCATATCACGTCATGGGTCGTCACCCAACTCAGAGGCTATATAAACTATTGATAAATATTAGGTCTCTCCCAATATAGCAGTTTTTAATAACCTTTTGATACCAATGATTGCCTACGTTTCGCTCTGTCCAATCCTAATGGTTTTTGAAGTTTCATTCTTGTTTGAATACTAGGAGTCAAGAATCCCATCATTTCTATCATTCATACTTATAAGTATTCATGTAATAGTTTATCTATTATATCACTCATGATATTTTTTAATTCATAATTCCTGTAATAAGTATTCATCATACACATTTCATATATCATATGCATGAATTATAATAAATAAATACTTATAATAATTTTTTAAACATATTCATCAAATTGATAACATAGTAAAATCATGGATCGTAAGGGACAAATCAAGTTTGCATTCATACAATTAATGTAGATATTCATTCACAATATGCATTAAATTTTAAATGAATAGTATCATATAATCACATGAAAACCTACAGAGTTATTTTTCTTCAGTTAGGTTAAAATTATTTCACCTGAATTGACGGAGCAGTCCTACGATGAGTTTTCTTAAGATTACCTCAAACTCACCGTCAAGTGTAAACAATCTGGAATTCACAAATTTCGATGGTTTTCATAAATTCTTGGCTTATATCGTGATTTAACCACAAACATAATTTTCTTACCTCAAGTAGGCTTCTCTACATGAATTCCCCCTACAAATTTTTTCAAATCATCTCTTTCTCCCCTTAACCTTCCCTCATTCCCTTGACTTTGTTGATATTTTGCTAATTGTCCATATGAAAACCCAAAAACCAAGTTCATAGTCTTCGACACGAGCTCACCTCTCAGTATAGCGACCTAGAATGAAAAAGTTTTCCGATTCATTGCAAACGTCAAAATAGTAATTTAAGGTATTAAATGAGTGTACAAAGCATCATAAAAATGGAGTTCATCTTTACCAAAATCTCCCTAGAAAGTTTTGAGCTGCAGCTTGCTGCGGGTCATGTGGCTACGCCTGCTATAGTGTTGGATCGCACGAGATTCTTCAGGCGTGTGGAACCGAAACAAGGAGAAGGGAAATGAAGGGAATGCAATATTTAGCAAAGGTCACTTAATTTCTTAGCTGTTCAATCAACGCATGCGCAGTTAGGTGTGGGGAATGTCGGCTTGAAACAATGAACTGGGATTATAGATTTAATTAGATGATTAATTAAGGTTAATTAAGCTTGTACTTGTATCAATTTGCATCTTTCCATACATTTACTATTCATGCATAGTGCTATATATCAAATTCATTGTCGTGACATGTATAATTTTTTAAAATTGCTTGAATCAAATTTTGGTGAGTGTGAAGATTGGGGTATATTTTAACATTGCCAAAAATCTACCAGTTTATCAAAATTCGGTGTTATAGCTCTCTTCTCTTTATAAAAATTTTGTTCTTTGAATTTCAGAGTTTACTTGAAGAGAAAGCGATATATCTATCTCCTTTCTTCATCTTTTTTTCCATATAACTTCTTTTTTAGGCATGTTCTTTCACTTTATCTTAACAAAAGAATTTGTCAATTCTTCAACTATTAAAATTTTTTCTAGACTCTTTAATATAAGTTAAATTTTTTTGCACTTTAATATCTTCAAGTGAAATTCTCTGGCCTGAATTTGAAATTCATTTCCTCAACTTTGAAATTTGAAATATATCATGGATGTCTGACATATCAATTGGTAAAACTTGCTCGTAAACAACTGGACCAATCATTTCTATAATTTCGAAATGATCGATATATCTAAGACTCAACTTGTTTTTCTGAGCAAATCAGACTGCATCATTGGACCGACTTTTAACAATACGATCGCTAAATTTAAATTCTACAACTTGGAGCTTTTGGTTATAATATTTCTGTTGTTGATTCTGTGCTGCTTTCAGTCCGTCTCTGCTTAACCTAAATTTCTCTATGGCTTCATCAACTAACTCAAGATCTAATCTTTTTACATTCGCCCACTTCAACCAAACTTTGTGGAACTCTGCACTTCTTGCCTTATAGTGCTTTAGAGGGAGCCATTTTTATATTGGATTGATAGAAATTATTGTATGCTAACTCGATCATCGGAATGTGATCTTCCCATTTATTTCTAAAGTCAAAAACACAAAGCCTCAATAGATCTTCTAATACCTAAATTAATCTTTGTGATTGTTCGTTGGTTTGTGAATGAAATGCCGTGCTAAAATGCAAATGCGTACCCAAACCTTCTTGAATACCTTTCCACAATCTG